CAGGTGCTCGAATAAAGGCGTGGTCTGAATGATCTTACTTAAGATCTCCTTACGACTTCCTAAATGATCCTACTTAAGCAACCAAGAATAATGCGGTCGAAATCTAATTTTGAAGAAGTGCAACATTAAATGAATGTCCTGATTCAATCTACTTTATCCATTTTTAAGGCAAAACTTTTTTCATAATTATTTCATGCCCAATTTTTAGAACTGCCTTAATACTCAAGACCATAAAGACAAAATTAATTTTTTTCATAAATACGCGAATTTTCAAATATTTTATAAAGAAAAGAATGTTTTGAAAATGAACGGATTCATTGGATTCGAAATAAAGCGAACGAAAAGACGAAGTAGTTTAAAAAAAAGGCGAAGTAAAAAATTCTACACACCCATCCGCCGTTTTCGGCAATCCACTGAGAAAGTTGTTGCTGCGTGTACTGGGCTACCCAGTCGGCCGTACAAGACGTCAGTTCCTCCATGCCCTTGCGCAAGAACTGAACTGCAAGAGTGCCTCCAAACGCGTACAGAGCAACAATTCGGCCCCATGTAATACCGTCGTTGAAAAGCTCTTCGCAGACCTCGTGAAATGTGGGAAACGCGATGGCCGGACTGATATTCAATGCATCGGTCATTGAGCTGAACTGTCGACAGTATAATTTCTCGAATTCCTCACCCATACTGCGCATACACAACCGAATGTCGTTCGGACACGGTAGTTCCGGACATTCCCTCCAAAAGTATCCTTCTCGACCGAGTCGAAAGTTTATATAGTCGCAGGCCATCACCTGGGATTCAGATGCAATGTCTTTGCAAAGAGCGCCACTGCCCCGCTTTATTTCCGGTGTTTCGTTAGACGATCCTGACTCCGTCACAACGTTCATAGTATCTTTCGCCGTACGCTCAACATTGGCCATTGTCACAAACGCGTTGAAAACACTGTTAACCAGGGAAAAATTTTCTACAAGAAACAAAAAATTCATTTGAACTGGGAACATACATGAACACAAGCGGTCACGCCCATTCTCGAACGTTTATTATCACCGACCCGGGCGGGGTTTTCTTCACATGGCAAATGAGCATCACAGGCGTTTGACTCGCCGAATATTTCAAGGAAGGCTCTTTTGTCTTCAACATATCGGAGAGCGAAAAGAATGGCCAGAATATACGTGGCTATTGGAAATTTTTCCACCTGGCAAGCAGGAATGGTTCCCGACAAAAACCACCGACGAATGTGGCCCATTGTGGAAATAATGAAAGGATGGTACTGCCAGCGATAATGTTCCCAGGGGTAAAATGCGTAGTGCCACAAACCTGCAACAAAAGGACCAGTGAAATTGAGAAAGCACACCTCTGTATCAGATGCGAATAAGCTATTTCCACCGCAAAGCTGAGCCTTACCGTATGAATGGACAGACTCGTTAAACAACTCTATCTATGAGTGAATATTTACCCACTGGATCACGACTACGTAAATGAACGACTGTAAGCACAAAACATCTGCTGTATGTCCCCCTCTCCAATAAATAGCAAATACATTCTGGACGGCCTTCACGCCTGTAGGCAATTCCAAGGAGTGGTAATCTGTAAACCCGGTATGAACTGAAATTGTTTCGCAGTTCACATCAAAGCGGTAACCTTTCGCTGTGACCGCTCATTGGTCAGTTACTGGAGCTTAAGTATATATCAAATTCAATAAG